TGTTCATTAGTAGTGTTTAGCTGATTTTTAGGAGATGAAAACGCTCATTCCTAGTTTCTCATACAGATTCTGAAAGGTCTTGAAAAACTACATCTTTTGGACGAATTTAAAAATTTTGTCTTCCTAAAAATACCTAAATTGCGCGCCAAAACCCCGAAAACTGCCATGCTTTCGCTTAAAAGCCTGATTGCAGGTTACCATGGATACGTACAAATTTTCGGAGTGAGATTTTTAAAAAGCCTACAGTTCAGACTTGATTCGCTGAAAATTTCAGCTCATTATCTATTAATTTGACAAGAATACTGTTGTTTAAGTTAAAAAAAAGCGCGAAAAAAAATCAAAAGTTACAAGTCGTTTTTACTGATTTTTCAAAATTTGAAAACCTGAACTTCATCAAAAACTTTTTTCAAAAAGTGTGATTGAAAGCACATACTTTGGTCTATCTAATGGTGAAAGAATGAGATCTCTAGAACTTTCTGTTGAAATACTACAAGCATCGACATTTATGCCAAGACTTTTGCATCAGTCCTTATTACATTTTAATTGTGTAAGATTTGAAAATACTTGACAAAATTTCGGAATTGTATTAAATTCATACAATATATCATCATGTTCTTTGTATATCTCTAATTTTTTAATTATTTTATTCAAATATCTGCACAATTCATTATCATTGAATAATATTGATAATATAAATGGATCGATAGTTAATGATGATAGTTGTAGTGATTGTTTCAATATTTCTAATAATACTGATAACATATCTATTTTACATATTGACGAAACATATAAATGTTTTAAATTAATTAAATTAACAATTGTTTTCAAAAGTTGAACATGTTCTATATATAGAAAACAATTATCATCATATGTCAAAGTATCCGATTCATTTTCTAATGTTAATGATTCAACATTTGGAAAGTAAAATTCGCATTTTTCTCTTATGATTTTTTGATCCAATGTTAAATTTATCACATTCTTGAATATATTTAAATTATTTATCAATTTTTTACCATATCTATTTGTATACGGTGTTAACATATATGTATTTGATACATAAGGTATTGTATAAACGTATGCTAAATGTTTATTCAATACATATTCAGTATTCCAAAAATGTTCTTCTTGCCAAAAACTACTTTGAAATTGTTCGAACTTATCAATAATAATATCATAATCATCATCATCTGTACGTAAGTAAATAAATTTGAACTTGAAACTATTGAGATAAGATAATGAATTTGTAATTAAGTCTTGCCAATTATATGCATCAATCATGGTATCATTTTTGGAACATATTGTTAAACTTTTTAAATTTGGTATTTGTCCTATAAACATCTTAAAATATTGAAATTCTTGTTGAAAATCATTAATAATTACTTTTTGTAGATTAATTGCACAATGACGATTAGAAACAGTATTATTATTATTATTGTTCGTTGACATACTATACCGTTCGAAACCTGTCCATATTTTATGAATATTAAGATATTTTAACATAGTTATATAAGAAAATAATTTATATAATTCATTTAAACTACATTGCGATATAGTTAAATTTATAATTGAAAATGTTTTAAGAATATGATTGAAATTATGAGATATTTTGTATACTGCTAATAATTGAAGTTTACCTGATGGTAGAATAGTTGATACATCATAGTTGTAATCAATTAAATAAAAAGAATATAGTTTAGATATTAATGGTAACATTGATTGTAATTTTTCTAAATTAGTAGCTCTAATTGCATTCAATGATAATGATTGAAGATTAAGAAATTCATGAAGTGAGAATAATGATAGAAATGCATTTA